AGAGAGAGAGAGAGAGAGAGAGAGAGAGAGAGAGAGAGAGAGAGAGATGAGAAAGTGTAATAGGAAAAGGCAGTGAGAATTTTTATTTGTTCTTGAGTTATTATCTCTACTGGAAAATTTCCAAATATTTTAGCAACAAGATAATATGGTTGCAAAGCAGGTACTTATGGTTTTAGGGGGTAAAATAACCATTGCCAAATGCCTTTCTCTGTTAGTGTCTATCTTTTCTCCCTGACACCCTTGGCACCTACTATAGCACCTTCCTTAGCAGGTGAGAATAATTATTTCAGGATTGGATGTTAAAGGACTTAGATAACACCATACTAAAATATGCTAGTTTGCCCGGGGACTCTGGACCCAGGTGGTCCCATGAAGCCTGGGAACATTAGTCATGCCACAGTGGGAAAGCAAGAAGTCAATTCTGGCAGTGTATGGGGAATGGTAATAAGATAATGGGCGTCCTTGGGCTTTATATAGAAGCCAACAAGGCAAGGCCTTTACTGTTCACTGGATCTCCCAAGGAACTGATCATAAGTCAAGAAAAGTAAAAATAAAAAAAAGGGTGTAAATAGCCCAGTGTTTGATAAATGGTGATTGCAAACACATTTATTAATAAGCTGTAGCTCTGTTGTCTCCCTCAAGGATTCCAGGAATTTGGGTTAGGTTGGCTGAAAGTTCCTATGTCAATAATTTTATTCTTATCATTCCGGGCCAGCGTTTTCCAAAAGAGTAAGGCTAAAATATCGAAAATTCTTTGAAACATGTTCATTAGTACAGAGATCTAGGCATTATTTTCATCTAATTCCTCTTTCTACTTGGTAGAAAAAGGCAAGAAGGAGTGGGAATTATATCTTCCAAACACTTGCTACCATTTTGTTTTACAGAGACAGACTTGTTTCTATTTTAGAACACTTTAGAAAGCAGTAGGCCTACCACATAAGTCTTCTTTGTTACTATCAAATTTTATTTGTGGCAAAGAAATCATGAGACAAAATGGATCTTCTATATTATCTAGTTTGTTTGTTTTAAATATTTATTTATTTTTGTATTTTATGTATATGCGTACTTTGCATGCACATCTGCATACCAGAAGATGACATCAGACAGGTGTGAGCTGCCATGTGGGTGATTGGAATTAAACTCAGGACCTTCAGAAGAGTAGTGAGTGTTCTTGACCACTGAGCCTCAACTTGTTTGTTTTTAAACTCTCTCCATGTCCCAATTTTAAGAAAACAAAAAAGTATTAAGAGAGAATAGTACATATAGTGAGATGTTCACCAAGAAATGGAGAGGGGGGAGGGAATATGCAGATACTCAGGTAGCACATTTTATTAATATGCTTCTAATGGAATGATTCCTTGGGTCATCACATACAAGATAATTACAGACAGTGCTTTCACTTTTTACTATGTATGATGATTTGAAATTCAAAGGTTCCCATAGGCCTCTACACTTGAGTACTTGGTCTCCAGGTGGTACAACTATTTGGGAAGGATGAGGAGGTATGGCCTTGTTGGAGGCACTGTGCCAGTGCTTTCTCTCTCTGCATTGTGGTTATGGATACAGATGTGAACTCTCACTTGTTCCTTCTACTATCATGGGCTCTAATTCTCTGAAACCATAAGCCAAATTGAATATTTTCTTTTATTAGTTGACAATGGTATTTGTGTTTTATCACAGCAATATAAAAGTATAGAACATCATGTAATATTTTTCATACTTATCAAATTTATTTATAGTTTTGTAAAATGATGTCATATTTGAGTATTTTTAAATATATGTATATATACTTTATGTAATGTGACTGAAATTTCTTCTTCTGATACTAGGGGTTAATGCTTCTAGCCATTAGCAAGGCTTGTGACCATCCTGACCAATGGAGTACATTCATGGAACATTATTTTTGAGGTTGGGTCATAAAAGACACAGCTTCTATCTGGCTTCCGGTTTGTTGCTTGCAGTTGGAACTCAACCATCATCCTGTGAGGAAATCCAGACCATGTTATAAGATCATATGTAGGAGTTTTAGTCAATCTCCAACCAAGGAGGAGACATCAGAATCAACCATCAATATAATTAACAAATGAGCAGATAATTGTAGCCTCAAGTCTCTCACTCTTCTGGCTGAGGATCACAGACATCATAAAGCCAAATCGTGGGCTTCTCAATCTTCTAAATGATTCCCTGACCCCTCACTAGGATCTGTGGTAGTTTGATCTGCAATGCTAGTAATGACAACAAAGGAGCTTCTCTATTCCTGTGCTCCTCTGAGTATCTTCATGTAACAGGATGGATGGCGACAACTACATGCAAAGAGAGCAACTGAATGATTTAAGGAACTGAGATGGTTTTCATTCATCCAGTGTTCTTAGGCATGGCTCACTAATAAGTAGTAGGTTTCCGGTCCAGACCTGGTTGCTCTTCCCAGTGGTCTATTGAGCTCTTGTGGTGCTTCCTAATCAAACATGGCTTCCCCTGCCTACCAATCTTGCTTCATCTAAGCCTGCAGCCATTTTCTGTCTTCTACTTGAAACCAACTCTGATGAGAGAGGAGAACTTTGGGCTTGAAAAGTTCCAGTGAGCACATGTTTTTATGGCTGCTGTTGTTTTGATGCTGACGTTTAATCTTTTACTGTTGCCTATCATGACATCCTTTCCTTTGCATGATAAAAAATACTGGAGTTTGGGAGTTCTTCAGTAGAAATGTACTTTGTCACAGGTTTCACAAGTCAGTACCTCTGCATCTGGCTTTTCCTACTCTAAAACTCTCCCCTCAGACTAGCTGAATGAGTTTATAGCTGACATATCATTACCTGAGACTCCTGCAAGTTTCTTTCCAGTAGAGCTAATCACATTTTTTGAAAACTCCTATAAACCAGTCAGAGAAAGCTGTAAATTAGGACAAGGAAGGCAGGAGGATGAAGTTGCTTATACATCAATACATTAAACTTCCTTATCCCAAAAGGTCATCCTTTAACTTGCTCGTTTTTTAAGGAGCAGAACAGTCGAGCCCATCTGCTGGGCTTCAAAAGATGATTTACTCAAACATGTCAAGTCAACTCACAACGCATCCTCACCAGGCTTCCATGGGTGCCTTCCTTAGATATCTTCAGTTAATCATAAACTTAGTGGTTCTAAGGTTAACACTAATGGGAGTCCTCATTTTTCCTTCAGAATATATTCTATTGTACCTAATTATGAATTTTGTGATGTCTTCTTTGAAAGGAGTAAATTCAAGCTTGAAACTGTGTGAACTTAAAGGGATATCTCCCATATAAACATAAACAAATGACATGGGGGTGAGGTGGGGTGAGTTTCAACCATTAAAATTCACTGTTTAACATCTCCCTTACCAATTGTGATTGAAAGTCATGACCCTATTTATCAGCTGATTCTTGGCCATGGTTGCATTCTGAAATTGTTATTAGTCTGCTACACATTAGCTTATTAAGGCGTAGCATTAATGAGTCAAAATGACATCAATACCCAGTCTGCTCTAGTTTTTAGATGTATTCTCCCTCCAATTCTCTTCTGTAGCACCAAGATGACCCTCAGTCATATCTCCTTGTAGCATCATCATTGGTTCCAGGCCAACATCAATTGAGTTTTGAGAGTAAATACAGTAACCTGATGCCCTTGGAGAGCTTAAATTTTACTTCTATGTATGAGTTGGAACAGCAGGCTAAATCTATCCCCATACATGAAATTTGCACATTGCCCTCTCCAGCAGGTAAGAGCAGGATGAGCATAGGTGTCTCATCCTGCAATGTCCTCCTTACCCTTGCCTTCCAGTGTTCAAATTCCTCTTTGGACCTAGCACTACATAATCTTTTTCTCATTTTTAAAATCGCTGCAGGTCTTCTTTTTCTCTCACAGTAGGAGCCTAAACCAAAATAATAGTAGTCCAAACAGCTGAGATAAAGCAGTTCATATTTGCTACAAATAGTAAACTAACAGAAAAAAAAAATCCTGCCCAAAGGCAAACATTAAAAAAACATTTACCCCAGTTTCCTTTCTGTATGTTCAGTTCTACCACATCATTCCTCGATTTACAACCCCAGAGACAATTTTGGTTTGTTTTGCTGCCCTGAAAGAGGCCCAAGGCAGTTTATTATCTTAACCTCTGTGCACTGTGGCATGAAGCAGGATTCCAGACATTTCCTTTCTGAACTAGTCCTGCTCTTTATATTGACAAAATGGAAATGAATTTCAGACACTTTTACTTTCTCTTTTACAGGGAGGTTCTATGCAAGACTCATATTCATGAGGGAAAGGTTGTTTGGAAAATATTATTTTTGTAAATGATTCTTAAGTTATCCATATGCAATAATTTCAGCTATGTTTTATAAGAATGTATAATTTACATTTAGCCAGAAATTAGTCTTTTATAGTTAATTTCAAGCTTTCCAGAGTAAAAATGAAGCTTTTTTCCTAAGTAATGAAATAATTAAATGCTTTAAAAACTTAATATTGAAAAAACATATTGCAAACTGTCTTTAAAGCCAAATTTTATTTTTTAAATCTAATTACTCCCCATCTTTTTTTTTTTTTGCAATACAAATTTTCTCTTAATTTACTTGGTTTTGAGTTACAAGAGAAGAAGCATATAATTATGGTGTAAAGTCTTTACTGGATGAGCTTGTATGAGGCCTAAGTGGTTGACTGAAAAATCAGAGCTTAGCTCTTTTATAGTTACTGGCAAGAAAAAGTGAGACTTGTAGACAACT